GACTCTGTCTGCAGAGATCTATTGGCTGATGAGAGTTTCAGTATGCTGGAAGGTTGCAGGTCCCGAGGCAATTTTTGTTATGCTAGGCTAAGTTCTGGCTTTCTGGACTAACCCATTCCTTGCCCTCCTCTGTGTCAGAACTAACACCTTGTGACAACAGATGAAAACCTTTAGAACCTATCGACTTAGTAGGCAACCAGTGTCTACCAATCCACAAGCTAAGAATGCCATCAGACAGCATCTTAGGCCTATATGAAAGCTTCCCTCATTGCGACATACATACCTGCCTATCTAATATGCCCACTAATGCATTTTAAACTTGCCTTGATTCTGTAAAACTATAAAAAAAAAAAAACTTTGCGAAACTGCTTCTACTTTGGAACATGGAATTTGGGGTTATCTAAATTTGTGTTGCCATGGTCATTCACAATGGCTCCACAGTAAACTATCTTTGGTTTCCTAAAATGATTAAATGTGAGAGCTAAAAAGATGAGAGGTGTGGTTGTTGTGTCAACAACAGGAAGCATGCAAAGGCAGGTGGTGCTGGGCTGACCCTGCAAAAGGCACATGGGCCAAACTACACCCTAACAACATGGAAACTTTACTTCCTTAGCTATTGAACCCAGTTTGAGTATTTCATTCTTTTTTTTTAGTTGAGGATTGACAGATGGTTTGTCTCCCAGTAAATTTTGGTTAGTGTCATTGATTTAGAAAAGTAGGAGGTGTAATACTTTCAGAGGGGTGTACAGGGATAAACCATACACAAATTAAAGTGGAGTTAATGGACTAACCAACAGGAAATGTCTTATTCAGTCCATGCCAAAAATGCTCAGTAAAAGAATTCTGTATCTCAGCCCTTCGGTTTCATATCTGTTCTTTCCAGTGGTCAATTGGAACAATTCAGCACTATGTTCTTCTTGTCATTTCAGACAGTGATAGGAACACATATGACCCAAGAGCTGTCTATGGTTCAATATTCTTTGTGAAAATCAGAACAATGTCAACAAAGGAAGCAAGATAACATTCAGCCTCACCTTCGGAAAGAGACTATGAGATTGGGAGAAGAGAGACAGCTGGTCCCTGGCAACACCTGCAGGGGCTGCCCAGACACTGGGGAAAGGAAGTTCGATTGTCAGGTTTGTTTAGATGCCCAGCAAGAACTCTCAGGTCCATCTGCAAGCCAGGCTCTGCATCGGTAGTGTGTGTCTGTGTTTCTACAGGTGGATGTGCATTTTATGTGCTTGTATGTATGCCTGGGTGTGTGTCTTCACCCACAGGTTTGAGGTCAACTTTGGGTGTCATTCCTTAGGTGTCTACTTCTTGGTTTTGAGTCA